CTACTGTGCACAGATCATGTGGCCTCTCTCTGAATGTCCTCGCTGCTCTCCCTCTAAGTAATGGACCAACAAGTTATTGCAAACAAATCCAGAATAGCCTAGGCTGTTTTGCCGGGTGCCCGGGCACCCAACTTGTGCCCGGACACACGCCCGGGTGCGCAGCCGGGGCTGAACCCCGGGCAGGGTTCTGGACTTTTGGCCAAGGGTCATATCAGAATTCGTCACCTATTTGAAGATAAAAAAAAGAAAACAACAAAATCAGACTAAGGCTAACCCTTTAGACCCTTCACCCCTTGAAAACCAATTTATACCCACCTCCCCCCTCCCCTTGACAGCCAACACTCAGAAAGAGAAAGGAGTCCGGATTTGAGCTCCTCTGGGCATGCACAGAGGCCCAAATAGATTCAAAATACAAAGAAATACATCAAAATAAAACATTACTGCACTGCTCTACAGAACCTCTCGGTTCTGGCTCCTACCATTCTGGGGAGCGACAGTCCGGTTCCTATTCCCCCGGCAAGTCAATATGGAATACATACAGGACTCACGCACGCTCCTCCCCATTATGGCTGGGAGGACCGAGTGGGCAGCATTGATTACTTCCCTGAGGAAGGATGTACCACCTCTCACCCCTGCCTAAGCTAGCCTGTACTAACTCTGCCTGACAATCTATCTGATCCCAGCTCTGCTCCTCTCAGCTATGAAGCTGTCGGATAGATATGTTATGCAAGATCGTTCTGGGACACTTATGAGTCTTTTGAACTCTCTATACCTCTATCACAGTATTTGCCTTATTTCTGCGTAACCCTTAAACCCGGAACCGTTGGTCGTAATGCAGTCATGATTTACCGGTACCAAGACCAGCAGATAATTTTTTTGCTGTGCTAATTCTCCAAAGCTAACTCTGCGTTCTTCTACCTACCTACCACCTGTAGTGCACAACAAAGAAGAATGATTTTAATTCCACCTCCATCATGACCCTCTCGAACCGTCCTTCCTTTTAAAAGCCCCTTTCCCAGACCCTCACTGATACTGCACTGCTGTCATCTATAGTCTATGAAATCGTGCTCCCTTCCTACCCTATATTCCTTAAACCCTTAAAGACCCCTTGACTTATCCTTTCCTGACATACCTATATTCCTTAAACCCTAAACCACTTGAATTATCCTTCCCTACCCTGCCTCACCTATATTTTTATGGCAGCCTAAGTTCCTGTGTGCCCCCCCGACGATCCATCGCCTCCTCCTGGGGATCCTCTTTAAACCAATGGAAAATAAGTCTTTGTCCTGCTATAGAAGCAACTTTGCCTTGGCCCAGTACCCTATTCTGGAATTTGATTAAGGTATCCTTTGCCCTTTCAGGGTTAAGGGCCATTTGCTTCTTTGTTCTTAACCATAACGCCCTAATCTATGTCTCTAGCAGACTGTAGAGGGTCGCCCTAGCTTCCATTCTCGTCATCAGAATCTTGCCTACCACCCTCTGACATCTTCGTTTCCAAATTGTCCATAGAGTATACTGTCTTAGTAGCTGAAAGATATACTTATGTCCCGCCCTCCATCCCTTAGGAACGTCAACTCCAATCAATAGTAGTTTCGCATTTCTCGGGAAGGGAAGCTCCGTAGTGCGTGACCATAATGAACAGGCTAGCGACCAGAGATGTTCTGCTTCCGGGCAGTGCAGCAAACAATGGATCAGAGTCTCCTGCACACCCTCCATACACATTTCACAGTTTTGATCCTCTTCGTTCCATCGTTTTCTTTTTTTTTTCTTTTCTTTTTAATTTGGACCATTTCTCGATTTATGGGTGTCATCCTTGTGCAGGGGCCATGCTAATCTTCTCGGTACCGTTCCAATTTTAACGGATGTCCCGAAGAACCTGCTCTACTTATCTTACTGCAATGACTGGGTCCTTTTTTGGGTTGATGTCATGTGAAAACAAGCCAAGCCAGTTCAGAAAGGCTGAAGTTGCAGGCTTGTTCCCTCGATAGCAGATCGGATGCACATCAAGCAAAATGACCCTCCGCACTGTGCTCTTTGTCCTGCTAGCCCTTCCTTCGGCAATGGACCCTGTCTTCTGCTTCTGCATCGGAGCTTCTGCTGCCTCATGTCCATTACTTCTTCTGTCAATGTCATTCATTCCACCACCACCACCATCAGCATTCCTTGAGGCCGCCGCATTTGCTAGACATGTTTGTGCGCCTGCACCCATACCGTCAGCATCCTTTTCCACGTGTATATCAAGCAAACTGCCAGGACCCTCCTGGCAGTCAATCGCGGCTTGCAAATCCTTTGCCACATGGCTTCTAACAGTTTGTGCGAAAACTGGCTCCGTCTCCCATCCCATTCACTTTGCACATCGACAGTTGGTATCCCTTTGACCTCCGCATCTTCTGTGTTGCCAGATACCGCTGTGCTTGTTGAGGTTAGCATCATTGATTCCACGTTTTCGACAAGAGCAGGTCCACTATCTCCTCCCATATTCTCCTCCTACTCCTCCTACTCCTCCTCCTCCTCCTCCTCCTCCTTCTCTCTCTCCTCCTGCTCTTCCTCCTCCTCCACCTCTGCCTCCATGTGTTGGACCTCCTCTGCGACCTTCCGAATGAAGTCTCCAAGCACAGTTCCCTTCACAACAATTCCCTTAGCACGTGTGTGCGCATACTTGCCAGGCGTAGGTGTTTCCTTCACCACTTTCGTCCCAGTACCATCTTCGTTCCCCAATACAGAAACCCGGTTCAGTCTTTTCAGCGCCTTTTTTGCAGCCCTGATCTCCTGCGGGCGCCTTTCCACCCCTCCGACAACGATTTTCTTCTTCTTTGCGATCGAAAAGACTCGTTCATCGTTCGGCATCAGCTCATTCCTGAAGACCTTGCCAGTCTTCTTGCTATCCATTTCTCCTGTGCACTCTCCGCCACAAGGTCCTTTCCATCCCTCACCCCATCATCCCCCATCTTGTCAGCACTTTTGTTAGTACACCGCTTAGTCACCTGATCAGCAGCCTTGTTAATCGGCATTCGTCTACTCCCCTTCTTGGGTCCTTCTTTACCATATCATCAACTGCATCCCTACTTGTCCATAAGGATTCCAGGCCCTTCGGCACAGCAATCTGACCCAGCAGGTTCTCTGGTAACCGATTACTCTGTGTATCAGCTCGACCGATGATTGCAGGCTTCCCGGCTTCTTGCCTGTAATTGTTAGACCTACGTTTTTGGTGTCGGCTCCGCGCTTTCTATCACTGTTTGTACTGCGAGCGAGATGCTTTCCTGCTTTCTTTGGCTGGGTGCCCTTGCTCGGCTTCCCTGTGGGCCGCTTTCCTGTCTTCAGGCCAGATTCAGGAGCTGTCCCCGTCTGCCTCGCTTGAGTGGCTGAGGGAGTACCACCCACTTCTCCTTTCGGATCCCAGCATTCTCGGCTTACGACCCTTTTTCCATCTATTACAAGCTACAGTGTTGGCTCTGATTTCGACCTCTTTGCCAACGACTTCCGCCGAGCCTTTCTTCGAGTTCCAATCCGAAGATTGGGCTCCTCAAAGTTTTGAGTTTTTTTTCTTTTGCTCTGCAACAGCTTCAACACCCACTTGATTGCCAGCTTCCACTTTGGCCCTTGCCTTGACGAGCATCCGCATAAGTTGTTTTGCGATCTCTGCTTCCGCCCAGTTACCCTCCGTCCACGGAGACGTGTGCAGTCTGCAGCTGCGTGGAAAACATGCCCACAACCGTCTCAAACCTTCTCCTTTCACCAAACCTTTGTTTAGAAGTTAGAACACGTTGCCAACCGCGGTTACGAGTTTGGTTTACACACACTGCCGCGCGCACATTCAGTGTGCAGTTCGGCGTTTGCGCATGTCTTCCAGTTCTGATTCCACCCTCCGTTGTCATCAGACCTTTCCTCGGAAAGCGATGGACGTATACAAGGCCATCGCCGCCTCAAATTATGCCACACTCGCCTAGCTATCCCTCCTCCACAACTCACGTCCAGCTTGGATGTGCATCCATATCTCAAGCGAGTTAGCCCGCCGAAGGAAGAACGACCCTCAAGTGTGAAAGCAGATGCTACACGCCGGCTCGAGACATAGCCTCTTTGACAGCACCAAGGCAAACAGTATTTCCGTGCTGCAGAATCTAATGGACATCCGGAAGGCTGCCCCGAGGGCGGCGATGCAAGATCGACACCTGGAGGAAAACTAGACAATGTTCTCCCAGAAATACCATGAAACCACCGATCCACAACTAACCCTTCAGCAATAGAGTTGAAGGCTGACGCCATGGCCCACAGCTCTATACACCTCTCAGAATGAGCGCGAGAGCTCTGAGAAGGAACGCGGTCAGTTGTGTACTCAGCCTGGACGAGCAGTCAAAACCTGAGGAGGCAACTCAGACAGGTCGAAAACACTTTTCACAATTTTCACTAGATTTGAGACGCATTTTTTGTTGCAATCCTCAGCCTTGTGCAAGGAAGATGAGCGATAGCGAACTTCAGAAATCAAACAGCATCATACACATGAGACCAGATAGTCGTGACCTCAAACCAATAGCAGAATTGCATCACGAGTTTCACCACATAAGAGCACAGCAAAATCTCATAATTGACAATGCTGGAATAGTCTCATCATCATCAACGAAGAACCAATGTCGATATCCTATCTGGCGCTCGGCACCCAGACTACGAATGGCAGATCCTATCTAGCCTAGACTACAATGCCGCTGATGACGTCAACAGCTCCCTGAAGTACGAGCCGATCTCGGCCAATGCCGCATGCCTCAAGCACCAGGTATGTCTCTCATATCACTCACAACCTCGTTCCCCAACTCACAGATGCCACTTGCACCCAAGGACCATCATGCGCCCTATCCAGCATACAGCAGCGCAGCTCGGCTATGGCTGCCTGCTCCTTCCAGCTCGCCCGTGAGCGCGTGAGCCTGGCCAGCGTTAGCGCAGCATGCAGCCAGTGCCCGCGTGACCAATGCATGGGCTGGCCCTTTCCTAAATGGAAGTGGCCTGCTGCTGCGTGCTGTGCTGCGGTACTGGGGCCCGGCCCAGAAGCTTCCGGTAGGCCCAGAGAGGCTGAGCCTCAGTCCAAACGAATCAGGCCCAGGGCCACCGACAGTTACCCGTGCCCAACTGCCCACAGTCTGAGTTGGGTCCATGCTGCGTATCTCGCCCAGGGCCTGACTTAGATACATTTGATAAAGGAGGCCAGGGCCTGGGCGCCTTCAACCAACTGGCGCTGCGCAACTGCCTGAATTTTACCCCAGTTGCGAAGTAGTCCAAAATAGGCCTCTTGTCGTCTGTCGAGCCTGCCTTCACTTAGGGCGGCCGACCTGTTGCAAATAGGGGCCCGGTAGGGCTTATTGAGGCCTTGTCCCTCACACTTGTGGCAAGTAATGGAAACCAAGATCAGATAGAATAAATCAGCCTTCTACCTGTCAGCAATAGAGTTGAAGGACACCTTGCTCACATTTAATGGGGCCTTTTGGAGGCCTATTTATTCCCGTCCAAAGGTGAACATACACAACACACAAGAAAAGGGAAGGAAAGGACACCTTGCTCACATTTAATGGCGCGTGTGGGTGTGGGTCTAAGCCATCATTATTGAATAATAATAGCTTCAGGACCAAACATAACTGAATTCAGAACCAAACAGACAATGCATCCTGACCTTAAGCCAGCTCTCTTGCAGACAGATCCACGCTCCCTGCGTTGGTACACAAAGCGGCAGCAGAGAGGTTCAGTGTATGAGATCACCTAAGCCCACTACTCCCAACAGGCCCAACCCCATGCCCACTCAGTGCATCAGGGTTGGGTGTGCAGCAAGCTTCAGCAAAACAGCCACAGGGAACGAACAAACGTTATGGGAGCGCTCTCAGTGACGACATACACAATCGGGAAAACTGCAGGCAGTCATAGCACCAGAAATACATGCAGATAGTCTGGTGACCCAACAAGCCAACGGCAGGTCATAGTAGATGCCGATAAGAAATGGTGGAGTTCCTGGACCTGGGGCCTGGTCCCATTAGCAAAAAGGATTGGATTTTATTCCTGAATCTGGACATGTTCGTGGAGAGATCCAGAAAGTTATGATTAATCTGCTTTTCTGCATCTCTCCACAAAACGCATCCGGATTCCGGAATTAAATCCAATCCTCTTTGCTGGCGGGACCAGGCCCCAGGTTTCAAGCATACTAACAGACTGTTTAAACTTTAAAGTTTAAAGCACTACCACATACCCCAGGCAAAACGAATAGCTGGGCAAATATATCCACCGCAACTTTCGGGGTTCGGGGCTACCGGATCAAAATGGTTGGCACAGCCAAGCAGAAGAAAAAAGAATCATGACTGCGCCAGTTCTTTTTTTGGGCGTGCAGCACGATTCGCATCGGGAAAAAGGAGGCTCGAAGGTGGTGGTGGTTTAAAAAATTGAGAAAAAAATGATGAAGTTAAATAAAGTTTAATAAACTGCACTGATGGCTTACCGGTGTCAGAACTGTGACTGTGGAAACAAGACAAAGCAACAGAAGACAAAGGGAAATTCAGGGAAAGTAAGGAGTGTGGAATGGGGAAGGATAAGAGAAGGCTCAGGAATCCGCCTTTCTTTGAGGGCAGAGAGGACTTGCATTGTAAGGATGAGATGGATGTGGAACATGGAAAACCTAGTTGAGCATTCTCAGTACAACAATTGCCACGATGGCTGGCATTGAGCATGCCCACTGAACTGTAATGAAGCCTGCAGATTGTCAGTGGACTGTACATTGGGCCGAGGGCGAAGCTTGGGGCTTGCCTCAGTCGGGTCGCTTCTTAGGTTAGATTCCTAATTTTGTTTGGCTGAGGGCTAACCGAGAGACCTGCCTGTAAGGAAATTCGTGAGGGACATATTTGTAAATTCGGGAAAATATAGGCCCGTACTGACAGAATTCCCTACAGCTATCCTAACTACGAATAGCAGGCCCGGGCTACCACTAGGACAGACAGGCCCTAAGGGCCTAAGCTGATAGACGGTCCTATATCCTATAGCCGGGTTGGGAGAGGCCCTAGAGGCCGAAACAGAAACAGTACCGGTCGGTCAGTCAGTCCGGTCTAGGTCGAGTCTAGGCTAGTTTAGTCTATAGATAGGATGGGCACATCGGTTCAGGGCTTTTGGCAGTTGGTACCGAGTACATCGCTGCTGCGCTACGCGTGAACCGGAAGTGGTGACGGCTCAGCGTGGAAGGAGACAGGCATAGCCAGACCTTCGGAGCGCCGACCATAGCTGGGACCTGCGCTGTACTCTGCCAGCACGTAGGGGCTGTCAGAGGTCTGGGTTATCGAGGTCTGCTGGAGGCGAGGGAAGTTGGTGCCCTGATGGACCCTCCTCCGGAGTGGGGTTCCAGGGTTGTGGTGCAGCAGCCATAGCTGCTGCTTCTTCCTCAGAGGTCATCTGGTCAGGATTGGGTGGCGCTGCTGCAGACTTCCATCCGGGAAGTCTTCCGACACTTCGTCATCATCAGATACTGTGGCACTGGTCTTCTTCTTCATCCTCTGAGTGGTGTTTGGCCTCAGAGGCCTGTTTCAGGGTGGCGCTACCCTTTGGCGGCTGTATCTGGGTAGCGCGCGATGTTTCAGGGGCTCAGGGGTGTCACGGGTGGTTACTCGGGGTTGGGGAGTGCAGCGCTGCTCATTTCTGAGCAGCGCACTGTAGTGCTGAGGTTGTCCTGACAATTCGAGACTCTGAGTTCAATAAACAGTGTGATGCTGGGTTTGGACTATCACCGTTTCACTGTAGTACTGAGGTTGTCCTGACAATTCGAGACTCTGAGTTCAATAAACAGTGTGATGCTGGGTTTGGACTATCACCTTCCTTCATGACTGGTTGTGAGGATTGAGTGGAGTGAATTGCACTTTCAGTGTACCCTGTCATATCGCATGGTCAAGTCTTTCGCTGTGTTTATCTCTCCTTGTGCGGTCTGATACTCCTATCCTCTCCCCTTCCTTCTATGTATGTATG